AAATGGAAATGTTTTTGTGTTATTGTTTTTTTTTTAAATTTAAATCTACATATGCATATCTTCAGCACTTAATTAAAGTCATAAGGATAACGTTAAAATTCGAACCCGGATAGGAGTCCCGTAGGCGGCTTGGCATTGACACAATGAAAATTCCAGCAACTCCTGCGACGCTACAAGTTCCAAGCTGTAGCGTCCATACATTATGTTTCCCTTTGGGTTATCCAGGTGCGTGGAGAGATGCGATTTGCTATCTATATCTAAGGAACCAGCTTATCCTCCCAAACAATTTTCAAGGCCTCGTGATTTCGTCCTGCAAAGTATACGCCATCATCACATTGTGACGGACGGCATCAGTTAAATTTTAAAGTAGTGTCAACTTTTTAGTGCGTTTAAGCTGGTCTTTGATAAAAAATATATATTTTTTTTTTTTTTTTAGTTTTTAATTATTATTATTTAATTCCCAGGAAGCTTTCGTTTTGGCAACATCCGGTCCTCTTCAAATTTCCTCATTTATGACGCAAGCTCAACGGCAGGCTCGGCAGAGGTTGACCTCTCGACCCTTAAACCCATGCCATGGCTGTCAAATGATGGACTGAGAGTGGGTGGGGCGATGTGCCAGTTAGTCCTTCCCGTCAACCACGCTGAGATCACCTTATCCCCGAGGGCAGCTGCGGTGAAGCAAGTTCAAAGGTTAAAGCAGGAGTTCGGCCTGTCCGTCCAGTCCGCTTTCGAGGCAGAGTTTATGATTTTTGAGGTTTGAGTTATTTAGCGCTTGTACATACAACATTCGGGAAATTTAGCACCCGTTCGGGCAAAGTCTGCAAACCATGATTTTCAAATGGATTAATCTTAATCGTGACCACATCCGATGATAAATTGTTTGTTTTGTTTTTTTGAAGTCTGCACTTGAACGAGTTTTCTTATCTAAGCAACTTAATTGGTTAAATTTAATGATAACAAATAGGTTATGGATAAATCTGAAATTGTAAGAAATATTCATTCATGTAATAAGAATTTGGCTGACACGTGACTGGGAGACCCAATCTTATTTGGCTGACACGTGACTTGTAAGCTCAATCTTATTTGGCTGACACGTGACTTGTAAGCTCAATCTTATTTGGCTGACACGTGACTTGTAAGCTCAATCTTATTTGGCTGACACGTGACTTGTAAGCTCAATCTTATTTGGCTGACACTTGACTTGTAAACTCAAACTTATTTGGCTGACACTTGACTTGTAAGCGCAATCTTATTTGGCTGACACTTGACTTGTAATGTCAATCTTATTTGGCTGACACTTGACTTGTAAGGTCAATCTTATTTGGCTGACACTTGACTTGTAAGCTCAATCTTATTTGGCTGACACTTGACTTGTAAGCTCAATCTTATTTGGCTGACACTTGACTTGTAAG